TGCTGATTGAATCAGTTGTGTCCTTCCCAGTTGCAGAATCTGTATTGCTGTCCTGCAGATTCTTATAAGGGAAGATGTCCTCATGAAAGACCACATTTCTGCTTATGACAAGCTCTTTGGTGTTTATGTCAAGGACAAGGTATCCCTTGACACCAGATTTGTAGCCTAGAAAAACATCTTTTCTAGCTCTTGGGTCAAGTTTATTTCTGTTATGTTCAAGAGTAGAGACAAAGCACAGGCATCCAAAGATTTTGAGGTTTAAATAGGAAGGGGGCAGGTTATAAAGCAGATCATGAGGAGTTTTGTTATTAAGAATGGGGGTAGGCAGCCTATTGATGAGGTAAACAGCATGACTAACAGCATAAGACCAGTAAATGTTAGGTACATTAGCTTGAAAAAGGAGGCCACGAGTAACATTCAAAATGTGCTGGTGTTTCCTTTCAACAACGGAGTTTTGTTCAGGAGTTTCAACACAACTCCTTTGATGATTAATACCATGCAATTTGTAAAAATCCATACAGTTAAATTCAGGGCCATTATCTGATCTAATAATTTTAATTCCTTTGTTAAACTGATTTTTAATTTTAGTCACAAAATTATGTAGTAATCCTCTAGTCTGGCCTTTATTATTCATTAAAAAAATCCAAGTGTGCCTACTATAGTCATCAACTATGGTGAGGAAGTATTTATGGCCATGAATAGAAGCAGTACCAAAAGGGCCCCATATATCACAGTGAACAATATCAAAACAATCAGCAGTAACAGTAGTACTTTGTAGAAAAGGCAACTTTCGTTGTTTGGCATAATGGCAAGTATCACAAACAATATTGGTACCTAATTTGACATAAGGAAAATCTTCACATATTTGTTTTATAACTTTGTCCCCTGGATGGCCTAATCTACAGTGCCACAGATTTACATTAGCGTTTTTAAACGAAAAAGCAGTTTTGGTAGTGTGCCTTTGGTCAGGTTTAGGAATGTCTTGCAGATAATAGAGCCCTCCCCAACAATTAGCATATCCAATCATCTTCAATGTATGGTTCTCCTTTATCTGACAAATCTTGGATGAGAAAGTTAGATTACAATTTAAGTCCTTGATAAGACTCTGAACAGAGATCAATTTGAAATAGAATTCGGGAATGTATAGAACATTGAAAATGACAAGATCCTTAGATAATTGTACTGTACCAGCATGTTTAGCAGTTAAGGTAGTATTATTAGGCAATCTCACAGATATAGGTTTAATACGATAAAACGTGATGAAATTTATTTTATCATGTGTCACATGGTCTGTGGCACCAGTATCTAATATCCAGGAAGAAATACCTTGCCTATCTGCACTATCAGTTCTTTGAATTTGATTGATTTTGTGGGTTGGTTCATCATCTTTGTCTATCATTCGAAGCAGCTTCTGCATTTGTTCTGTAGTAAGAGAGTTAAAAATGTTGTTGTTGTTAGTAGGTTGTGCTCTCTGATTTCCATCTGGTTCAGTAGTGTTTTGGCAAGCATTGGCAGAAGTCCATTCACTTTTTCTGTCTTGACTGCCCTCTGCTTTCTTGTACCAAGGTGGGTATCCATGTTTAGAGTAACACTCATTAACTGTGTGGTTCATTTTGTTGCGATAAGAGCACTGTTTCCCATGGTTAGGATTTCTACCTCTTCCTCTTCCTTGACCACGCAATCCAGGTCCTCGTCCCTGGCCTTTCCACTGGCTGTTTCTGTCTGTTGCATTTACCATGACTTTAACATCAGCTGACCCATGTTTTTCTTGTCTTTCTTGTTGCATGATAAGAGAGAAAACCCGATTGATGTTTGGAAGGGGATCCATTAGGAGAATCTGTGTCCTAACAGTGTTGTAAGAGTCATTCAATCCCTTTAGAAAACATATTACATGCTCCATTTCTCTATACTTCAAGAAAACTTTTGAGAGAGCGCAACTGCATGGTATCTTGCATGTGCAAGTGGGTATGGGTCTCAAGAACTCCAATTCTTCCCACAGAATTTTTAAATCCGTAAAGAATTGGCTAACTCCTCTTTCCCCTTGTCTAATGGAGTGTATATCTTGAAGAAGGTCGGAAATCTTGAAATGATCACCTTTAGAAAATCTTTCTTTCAACTCATCCCATAATTCTTTTGCTTCTTCCACGTATATAACGCTCTCGGCAATTTGCGGGGAGAGGGTCTTGGTTATCCAAGACAATATCATCATGTTGCATCTTTCCCAAGCATCATACAGGATATCATCTTTCTGGGGTTTCTTTATGGACCCATCAATGAATTTCACTTTGTTCTTGGAAAGCAAAGCTCTTCTCATGCTTCTGCTCCAAGAAGAGTAGTTGTTTTCATTTAGAGTTTGTGTAATGAGAGTGAGTCCAGGATTCTCTCCTGGGTGTAGGTAGTAAGGGCTGGATGGGTTGTTGAATTCAGCCTGTTCCATGAGGTCCAAAGGTGTACAAACCAGCCCAAGAACCTATCAAGAAAAACAGCAGGTGGAGCGGAAGCAGAGCAGGTACTAGACCTGCTCTGATACCATATTAAGCCGAGGCCCAAATGGTGTGCACAGAAACGAGGCCCAATACCGAATGGCCCGTGACACGATTAAGGCCATCAGCTTGTGAGATTTCTGCAGACGTGTCCAAACACCTTTACACGAGCGATGAGAGAGGACGAAGCATTCCAGAGAGTTCCTTCTCAGAGCATGGTGATCCAGCGGTGGTCCGGCGGCCTTGGAAGCCTCAAACGGCGGTGGTGCAGAAGAGAAAAATGAAGAGGGCAAAGAGACAAGTAAGTAAAATACAACCTTTCTTGAATCTGATTTTATTCCCTTTCTACTAGATTGTTCTTGGTTCTTCTTAACTTTAAAATACAAAACATAACTCTATTTATAGAGCTCTGATAGAACAGAAAACAAACAGTAAAATAAATGCAAGTAATAGAAACCTAAAACAAACTGGATTTGAACTAAGACCTAGAATGAATCGGTTCATTTGGTAGAAATGAATCTATTTGATTCTTAATATATACCACATTTTATGTATTTTTAATGCAACCAACTAATATTTCACACTACAGAACTTGTTCTTTTTATTCTATCCCAACCAACTTTAACTCATTAACTCCTTATACTTATATACAATATTACTCATTTTAATAATAAAATATATTAACTTATGCATAAACTTGTATTAATTTATCATATCTTATATAAACACTTCTGTTAGTTTCATATAAGATTTTTTTAGATAAAATGGTAAATATATATACATCTCTTTAATTTATTGTCTAATAGACTTATTCTTTAATAATATACTCTCTAATTCATATTGGGATAAAGTATATAATTTTTTTAATAAAAAATATTAAATATGAAAAGGTTAAAATAAACTTTCAAGATTATTTAATGAATAAATTTTTAAATGTTTTTTAAATTTTTTTGTTTACTAGAATCATCGTCTCAATATTGAAAAATAAAATGAAAGTAAGAAAATAGAGTTGTGAATAAACTGCTTCTAATTATTTTATTTTTTTTAATCAAACACCTATCACAAACTATTTTTTCAATAAAAATTATAAATTTTATGTTCAACTTGAAATATATACAATGCACTAAATTTTCTTAGTAATACATCAATTATTTTTTCTTATAAATGAAAATTAAGTTGTGTTTTCACTTCTAACAAATTTTGTTTGGTATTTTTAAATAAAAAATGCATGACTTATTTTAATTTATGCAAAAAATATTTTTTAAAAATAATTATTAACTCAAATACATAAATGATTACTTCTTACAAGGTATAAAAGAACATTTTATAATAATTGTAATTATGTTTAAATTAAAACCATGGTTAAAATTATGAATCTGGATAATTTTGTATTTTGAACGGGTTTAGCGAAAAACAGATAATAGATAAGATAATGTTTCTTAATTCTCTTTCTTTATATTTATAAAAGCATCAAACCTTTTATTTATTTTTGAAAAGATAAGATTATGCTATTTTATGAAAAAGAATGAAAGGAATAAAAATATTTATTGAGAAATCTAAATTAAGAAAGTGGCATGTAGTTGTGATGCATTAGAAACCCGAGCAACAGATGTGGTTCATAGTCATGCATCTATATCATTACAATGATCATGCAGTTACTGTTGTTCCAATTCCAACCAAATTATTCTCTCAACTCCCATAGTGGACCCAAATAAAGCACAAACAATTAACATTTTCATTCTTTCACTCTCATCACTTTTGGCTTACCTCTTCACAACTTTTATTCATTCTTCCAATTTTTCCTTTCTATCATGCGATAATTGTGTCAGCAACAATAGCATAGAACCCAAACCAAGTGTATTTTAAAGAACGTTAAGGAATGGAACATAATTGTAACTCAAAATTGTTTAGTAAAATAATCAAATATTTATTTTATCTTAAACTTATCAAATCCAACTGATTGTAAGCATGATGAATTGTCCCTAGTAACATCATCTTTGAAAATATTGTTAAAATCTTTATGCTGTTGAGGTTTCTTACACCCTAATCCACTCTACAATCTCCATCTTTTTAGTTTTATCTGTGTGTCTTGTTATAAGTTAAGCACTTTCCTTTAACAGCAACTAATGACTCACAAAAACACCTGTTATATGATTATTACATACATGAAGCATCCACTATGAGACAACGAGCATCTCAAATTCCCAACCCAAAATCCAAAAGTCCCTTTCCTTTGTGTTCTTTCAGTTTTTTTTAATAAGTAAAAAACAAGATTGGTAATCCTACAAAACCTCACAATCAACCAACATGTCTTTCATTGGCTAATAAAAAATTTGCATGAGTAATGGTAGAACAAAACTTTAAAAACAAATTTTACTTAAAATTATTAACTTACAAAAAAAATTCTAAGAGAAGAAACTTGTTCACAAAGCACCATTCTTTTCTTTCCCTGTATGTAACTTTGGTTTTGTTTTTTCTATATACAAAAGCAAAGAAGCAAAGCATCTTCGCTTCTCGTACACATCCCATTGTTTTGCTTTCCCTTGCAAGTTTCAACCTTTTCTTTCCTTAAGAGTCTAGCTCTCACCTTTTTACGCGCTTTATAAGTCCATTAATGCACTATTAGAACTGTCGGTGTATCTTCTTTTGAAAATAATTTCACTTAAGTTTGGAATCTCTACGTAATACAACCTATTAACGGTCAAAATGGGTCAAAAATTCCAACCTTTTCTTCTTAATGGCCCAAAATTTATGCAGCTGTGTATATATTGATAAGCATGCGAAACCCATGAGTACTTTCCATTGAGGTTCTCTTGTATTTGTTTTGGTTGCATGAAATGGTTCTCTTTTACTTTGGTTGTTCATTTGTTCATGAGTTGTAGTTCAGAGCCATGGGTGGGCTCTGATTTCATTACACCCATTTCAAAGTTTCTACCTTTTCTTGCTGGGTATTTTTGTTTCTGAGACAGTTAAATTTTCTTACTCATTCTTTAACAGTGTTTTTTTCTTCCCAACATTTCTCTTTTCCATCTTGGAATAATCTAGGGAGTGGAAAAAAGACCACCCGAACTTAAGATTGTTAGTGTGAGAAACCTTAGAAGAAGAAGAAGGTAAAGTGAGTTCATCATGGCCTTTCTAACAGACTCTCACAAGGACTCATGGCAGCCCATTATGACTACAAAGACAAACACACACAGTTACTGGCTTAATTGGAGAGTTCTTCTTTGTTCAATATGGATTCTGGTTTCAGTGTTCTTGTCATCGTTGCTTTTATGGAAGTATGAGCGTTTGAGAAAACCAGAAACCAATGGAAGCAGGGAAACAGAAAAAGAAACATCGGCAACTTTGTATGAGGATGAAACTTGGAAGCCTTGCCTAAAAGGAATTCACCCTGCATGGCTCATGGCTTTCAGAGTGGTGGCATTTTTTGCTCTTTTGGTGCTTCTCATAATCAATTCCATTGTTGATGGAGGAAGCATTTTCTACTACTACACTCAGTAAGTTTTCTTCCCTATTTGAATTTATCTCCTTTAAAATTTGTCTGCTATTGAAAGGGACAGTGTGAACAGGAGCATTGTTCTATGTTGGAGGGAACATAAACACAAAAATTTGAAGTATAGTATGTTTTAAACAGAGTTAATATCAAACTATAGTCAAGCTGTAATTTTGCTAAAGGGGTTGTTTGTATGATTGATATTATTCTTTGTCTGCTCTTGGAATTAGTCCTTTATAATTTGAGCACCAATCATTTGTGAAATTAGTTAGTTACGAGTCTGAATAAAGAATCCTCTGATGAAGTAACTGATTACCTGTTTTATGATGCTTATGTAAGCAAATAGATGGAAACCACTTTAACTGTATTGATAAGGCATATTCTGAGATTATTTTTGAAGTTTGATTTGAGTTAATTTTTTAATGGTTTGTGAAACAGGTGGACTTTCACTTCAATCACCATATATTTTGGGGTAAGAATAAGTACCCCATATCTTATTTTTCTGTTGTGATGTTACTCTTATATAATTTAGAATGCAATATCTTACACTTTTCCTTGTGTGCTTGATGTTGCAGCTTGGATCTTTGCTCTCCATACATGGATGCTACCAATATCATAAGAAAGCAACTGGGGATAAGGTTGATAATGTGGAAGCAGATGCAGAGCAAGGAATATATGATTCTTCTGCACTACCACAAAGCTCTAATAGTCTATCAGACCAAGAGAAAAACTTAAGAGCCTCAGAAGTTGTTATTCGCCAACATGCAGGGATTTGGGGTTATATTTTTCAAATAATATTCCAGGTATACTTTTCAAATGAGTTTAAGTTCCATATGAATAGAGGCGAAAAAATTAAACACATACTGGTGGGCTTATGTTTTATTATTGTTGTGTCTTGGTGAAATTTCTTCTTCAAAATACCATCAAAATTATTATTATTATGATGAGTTTAGTCCATGGTACAACATTGAACTCTGATTTTACTCAAAATTGATTAAGGAGATCACCTGATTGTCCTGCAGAGTTACACTTTGTTCCATGTTTCTTCTTTCAGCCTTTTACTTACAAAAGTGGAAGGGAAAATAGCTGCTCCATTTACCACATAATTGATTTTGCTCTTCACTTGTAAACAGATTAATGCTGGTGCAGTCATACTCACTGATTGTGTATTTTGGTTCATAATTGTTCCATTTCTAACCATCAAAGATTACAACCTAAATTTTGTAAGTATCATTTATGACCCCATTGACTAACAATACCTCTTTATAACTTCTATCATATAATTAAGCTAGATAGCTCTTAACCATGTGATATAATTTTTCTGTGACAGTTGATAGTGATTATGCACTCAATCAATGCAGTTTTCCTTATAGGTGACACAGCTTTAAATTGTCTGGTGAGTTCCTGCATTTGATTCCATTTATTAGTCCATTTCCAATGCTTATGCATCAGAAAATTCTTACCCTTTACATTTTTTTTCCTTCTGCAGAGATTCCCTTGGTTTCGAATAGGATACTTTTGCCAGTGGACAATCATATATGTGATTTTTCAGTGGATGGTTCATGCTTGCATTTATATATGGTATAAAGTCTTCAACTATGTTGTCATACATAATTCATTATACTATGAAAACACCTTTTACATCACTGTCTAACATAATTTTCTTCTCTGGAAAAACAGGTGGCCTTATCCTTTTCTTGATTTGTCATCCTCTTATGCTCCACTATGGTACTAATTTGATTTCATGTGAAATTGTTTCAATTTTAAATACCAAAAAGGAAAACTAAAAGCTAGTTTTTGAAGTGTTTTTTGTTGGGAATAATCCAAATACGAATATGAAGTTTTAGATGGGATAAAAATGACAAATTTAAACATATATAAGAAAAAAAGTCTCATAAATCTAATGTTTTGAAGTTGAGTTAAAAATGATGTTAATTCTTTTGTGGGTTAAACTCAAGTTTTTATATATATATATAATCTCTCTTATATGAAATTATCCATCACTTTTGTCTTGTTTTCTTATCGAAATCAGAGTTTCAGGTGTTAACTTTTAATATAAATGGTAATTAAAGAATGGTATATTATGTTTTTACTCTAGTCCTTGCTGTAGCATATTTAAGATATTGATCATTATTAATAAGTTGTAATTGTTATGCAGGTACTTTGCAGTGGCATTACTGCACATTCCATGCTATGGAATTTTCGCATTGTTAATGAAGCTGAAACACCATGTTTTGTCAACTCGGTTCCCTGACTCTTATCAATGTGTCAAATAAATTCAGCCTAGAACTACCTTCCATCTTCCTATCCACCGTACAAAAAAGATAAAGAAGTGTTAGATAAAATTCTTATTATTTAACAATAACATTTCACACATATAAACAAAATATACTTTTTTTGTTTGACCAGAACAGTAATTAGAATTTTGCTCTTACTCTAACTTTTGTCAAGTAGAGAGCTGTGTAACTAATTATGAATTTATAAGTATTATAATCCATTATCCTTGTGTAATAGATGGGTTCTAAGTCTTTTTATCATACATTTTTTTTCTTTTATTCTTATATTTCATTATTTGTTTTTTATTATATGGTTGTTTAACTATCAATTATCTTGTTTCTTTTTTTTTATATACATTTTAAACACAATTTAATTTTTTTCACTTTCTACGTTGTGTCAAAGGGTTAGATATTGTGCTATCAATTTGATTTCTGGTTAGTGGGTTAACTCATATCCACTTTTAAAATAAGTTCTTTTTTATTGACCAGACAAATTAGTGGGATGAAGAATACCCTAATCCCTAAAGTCTCCCATAAAGTGGATTTGACTCACTGTAATATTAAAAAAAGTTTCAGTTTAGTTAACCCTAAATCTTATTCAAAATTGTTGTAATCCTTAATATATTTTAAATTGCAAATTGTCTCTAAATATTTCACATTAATGTATATTGTTATTCAATTAATTTTTATTATTTGCAACTGGTTTGCAATATTGGACCCAACCTAACTTGAAAAGCTTAAACCTAATTAGTTTTTTCTTGACTTGGACTCAACCATACCATGTCCAATACGATCAATCTAATTTCGACTTAACCTATAACTTCATCTCAACTCAAGCTTTACTTAGTCTAACTCATCTTAACATTAGCTAGGTGTTCGCATGTTTATACAACCCAATCAAACAAACAAGAATACTAGGTAGTGGTAGCATAACAAGTGTTGTAATTCATAGGGATTTGACAACAAATACAATGTTTAACTATTTTGATCTTGTATAAAACTATAATCGTAAAGGTGTTGTTGAAAACATATTTGTGTTGTGAAAATATTATAAAATATGTTTGGAAAACAATTTGGATTGTTAAATGAGTGACTTTAAGATGATTAAATTGTGTTGGAGTTCGACTTTACTACTTTTCACTCTCATATCAAATTTATCAACATATATGAAGCTGCAAATGATCAAGTCATGGGAGTTTACTTTTGGTGTAACTCTAGGTTCATTCTTGACACCTAGAGCCTAGGATCACCACCCTTCAGTATGATTCTGATACGCTGTCATTGAAGCTATCAAATTACCACTTCTTAACTTAGGCAACTTTAGTATCACTAAGTTAATAGTTAACAAACTAGATATGATTAAGTTAACCCGGAGTTGTATCCCAATAAATACGGAATTACTTTTCAATAATTGATTCTTATGAAATCCTATGCAAAAGATTAGAAAAACACAATGCAAATACTAAAAAAAAATAAAAGTAAAAATCTATCATGATGGAATTAATATTGAAGATTGATATAAATGTGAATTTAATGAAATAACAAGTTAATAAAAGACTTTAAAACAATTATAATAAAACGGGTTAACTCTACTATTTTTCTAAAATAGATTCATCGTCGATTATCCACGTATTATTGTTCAATTGATCATTGTGTTTTATTTCAAATTAATTAAAGTAAATTTTTAATTAATTTATTAGCAATCTTACTATTAACCAAAGTAGATTCTCAATTAAAAACAACACCTTTTTAGATCATTCATAATAAATTCAACAAAAGTATATTCATAATTAAATTCTATTATGTTTAATCACATATATTATTTTACCTCCTAACCAAATAAAGAGTTAATTAATCAAAATACATTCTCAATTAGTAGTAAAAACTCATTCTATTATATGAAAGTTCCTAACTTTAATCAAAACATATTCTCAGTTAAAATTAAAAGCCTTTAGACTTATATAATCAAAATGCATCCGTTAAAATTAAAAGCCTTTAGACTTATATAATCAAAATGCATATAGATTAAAACACATAGCTAATTAGTTATGATGTAAAACCATTACTTTTTTTACATGATTCAAAAATAAAAGACATAGATAATAAAAAGAACAAAGACATTATTTTAACCTACCATCAGAAGCTATAATGAAATTAATTACAATGAAACCAACCTTAGAAGCTTAGTCCTCCATGGATGGGGTGAAATATATAATGAATGAAAATAAAAATAAGAAAAGGATGGAAAGGAGGTGAGAAATGTAGTGGATCATAGCTGTGTTAAGACAAAATCGTCTAGAGAATAGATCATTTAAGCAACCCAGGTTTTGAAGTCTAATAAAAGCATTAAACAAAATATTGTTGTATGAAAAGTTGTTTAAAGCAATATTGTCTAATGAAGAAATATTCTATAACGCCTAAAGCCAAGAATATAAATAACGTTTTCTAGACTAAATTGTTTAAATGAATCGGAAAATCATAAACAATGTCTAAAAGAAAGTATCTCTCCTTAATTATTTAATAGACTATATGAGCAAAACAAACCAATGTCTTATGAAAACAAAAGTTTATCTCTTGTATAACACTAACATCAAAAGAAATATTTACTCAATACAGTGTTATATTAAGCAAAGCCTTCTAAAATAAACATCGTCTGATGAATGACCGCTAAATGCTTTAGCCTTTGAAAAACATCTTATGTTTATACCATCTTATGTTTATACATGTTATATGTCTTACCAAACAATGCATTTGTTAATAAAATGACAAATGATAAAATATCTTGAACACGCTACATTGTCTAACCCTTATGAACGTTCAAAACATTTAGTGCATGTACGAAAAAGTACTTCGATGCTTGTATACTTTGTTTTTAGATATTCATGCAGATTAATAAAGTAGAAAGATATGATTAGAATCACTACACCCAAGAAAAAGACATAGTGAGAGAAGAAGAAAATTTTGGAAATGTTTCCCTTAAAGCCATGTGTTCTCTCACATCCTACAAACTCAAGTTTCACTTAAGGCTATGAGAAAAAGCTTTGAACCCTACAAAGTAGAGTAAAGTTTGACTTCACATCTAAAGGCTACTATCTCTCCAGAAGTCAACTTCTCAGTCTAACAGTCATTTATATATAAAAGAAAGCTTGAAGAGAAGAAAATGATGCTAGCGCAAGAAAGATAACATAAGAAGAATTCAAACGTGAAAAGAGAATAGAAAGAAAAGGTAGATAATTGATTATCACTTGAAATAATCAATTATCAACAAAGTGAACAATTGTTAAAGAAATGTGAATAATAAATAATGACTTGAAATCATCATTATTTCAAGTCATAATCGATTATTGTAGACAACACCCAAAAGTTTAATACAAACAATAATCGATTATCACTCTGGTATAATCAATTAAGGATTTTTGTGAAAATATCAATTAATTAATACTTAGTGTCTACATACTTAATTATATAATCACTTTTTATTAATGTCATTACGGTGTTAACATAAAAATTAGAGTCATTATGAGAATGAGATATTCATACTTGACGAATCAAGTGGTTAGAAACTAATAGAAATTTATGCATATTACTTTCTTGAGTTATAATAAGTAATTATGTGAGTAATAATGTATATCTAAGAGATTTTAATCATGAATAAGATGTTAATCCCATATGAACTTACACGGTGCATAACTTCTAGAAGTTGTTGAATCGTATTTATTATCGTATTTATTAGTGATTGAGTGTATAATATATTATAAATGGTGAATATAAGGTCTTGAATCTTTGGTGAAAAACGTTTTTGAGGTAGATAGCCTTCAGTCAGGTTGAGGATTGAGGCTTCAAGACTTGAATAACAAGAGGTTTAATTATATATACTTTTGAATATTGAGTGCAATGACATTTATTTTTTTAGTTTATCCTTTGTATTTATATTGATTTCCATGACATTCATTTTGTTAGTTTACGCCTTGTATTTCTATTTTTGTGACTATTATATTTTGACACATGATTAAATGATTGTACAAGTTCATAAAAACAGAAAGATTTATTTAGTATGATGTGTATATATTTTTATATTAGAAGGTTTACTTTCATGTTTTTGAAAGACTTGTATATTTTATCCATGGAATTTTTTTTCAAACTCATTTCTTTAGATAATGTATTATTTTATTATTTTGTAAATATATTTTCATAAACATAATTTATATATGTTTTTCATTTTAGTTAAATTATAGGATCCAGATTAAAGAAGATGAGAGGGATACGGATATTACATTCCTCTATTCGTTCCATTTAAAAAAATTCGCTTAAGTATTGATGAAAACATATAAACAATTTTACTTTGAATTTTAAATAAAATTATTCAAAATCAATTCTTTAAAATGTAAACTTAGATAAAAATAATAATTTTAAGAAATAATTTAGATAAAATTGTATAAAAAATATTAGTTTTGAAAAAAAAAACCTTTAAAGAAATTGAATCTAGGTTTAAAAGAATTTACATACATAAAATTATATTTTAAATAATTCTTCAATAATTAATATTTCTTTAACCAATAATTTTATTTTAATCGTTTTCTTTAAATATACAAATGAAATTCACCAACCACAATTAACAAGTAATTGGTATCAACAGATTAACTACCATAATACTCGTTGCATTAACAAGGGATAATTTATACATAAATATATATATATATATATATATATATATATATATATAAAGAATGTGTTTTTTTTATAACCATACTATTTATAATAAATAATATATATATATATATATATATATATATATATATATATATTAGGGGATGGTGATAGTGCCGGGTGCCTGTATCTCCCTCGGTGAACAATAATGTTACTAAATTATTCTCCAATTTGAAACAAAATATTATCTTTACCGATAAATATATGCTACGAAAAGAACAAAAAGGTTTGAGGTTAGAGATAAGGACTTACCCAACTTAAGTTTGAGGTTACACAATGCATGAATTGTGCCGTTATGCTATCTTTTACTTGTGCGTAGTTTTTCTCTTAAACCGACCGATATTACGTTACCTCTTGTTTAAATAAATTTCTCTACACAACATATACAATAGAAGGGAAAAAAACAATATTTTTCCTTAAACTTAATACACAAAGTTTTGGAGAAGTTGGATAAGAGCTTTGATAAAAAGTTGTACCACCGAAGAAACAATTTAAGTTACTTTCTT